ATAAAATTTCTGAAGAAGGGTCTAGGCCCGAAACGTCAGCTTTCCTGCTCCTCTGATGCTGCTTGGCCTGCTGTTTTCATCCAGCTCTACACCTTGTTATGTCTGAATAGACTGTGACTCTTTTCACTGGACCATAGGAGGTTGAGGGGTGACCTTAGAGAGGTTTATAAAATCATGAGGGGCACAGCTAAGGTGAATAGCACAGGGTTTTTTCCCTAGGGTGGGAGAGTTCAAAACTAGGGGGCATATTTTTAAGGTGAGAGGAGAACGTTTTAGAAAGGACATGAGAGGCAACTTTTCTACACAGACAGTGGTTCGTGTGTGAAATGAGCTGCCAGAGGAAGCGGTGAATGCAAGTACAGTTACAAAGATTAAAAGATATTTAGATAGGTACATGAAGGTTTGGAGGGATATAGGCTAAACACTGGCAAGTGGGACTAGTTTAGTTTGGGAACATGGTCAGCATGGACGAGTTGGACCGAAGGGTCTTTTCTATGTTCTATGACTCTAAGACCCACCTCACAGAGCTGACATCCAATCAGTAACTGGCAGCTCTGCACACCATCAGGCATTAGGCAAGCAGGTCATGAAGGCAGGTTAAGGGCGTGGTGTTCAATGATGGAGCTGGACATTGAGGTAAGGCTGAGACCTCACTGGATCCAGACTGACAGATCTTAGCCAGCAAGAGTGGATATGAGGAGGCAAAACTGTGGGGAGGGTCCTTTAATTGGCATCGGGGTCCCAGTAAGATTCACAGCCCACCCACCCTGCTGTGCACTGGCTTCTCCTGCCACCTATTCATTCAAAGCTATGAGGGGATAAAGCCTTTAGTTTGGTATTTCATCGCCCACCTCGTTGGGTCACAGGTCAGTGGCCCACTTGACACAGCCTCCCTGCTGCTTGTAAAGTCATGGTGGGAGGTATGGTCTGCTAGATAGGCAGAGAGCAAGCTGACGATGGGGGCCCATAAAACTCTGCCCTGCGTTTCACCATTGTCTCTCAAATCCTATCATCATTTTCTATGGCTAAGCTCTGTACTGAAATGTTTTCCTTCATAATTATGACATGGGTGTCAGCTATGACTCTGTGGGTAGGAATTCAAACACAATTCTGGATGACATTCTGTGTAGTTACTGTGGGAATGCTACACCAACTTCCAGCTTTCAGTTGAGACTTCAAACTGAGGTACAGTTTTCCATCTCGGAATGGATGTAAAATATTGCAAACGCTGTTTTCAAGAGCGGGGCTGTTCTTCTTGGTGCCTAGCCAATAGTTATCCATCAACCAAGATCATAAAACAAGCCAAAGGTCTTCAGGTCATTTATCAAGTTGTTACTTCTGGGCCCTTGTGATAACTGTTATTTCTTATTTGCTAAAGCACTTTGAGACTTGGAAAGGGGGGAAGGCATTTAAATCCAATAAAAGCAAAAATATACTGTGAGTGCTGGAAATCTGAAGGAAACACAGAGAATAGTAGAGAAGCTCAAGGAGATCTGGCAGCATCTGTGGAAAGAAAGCAGAGTTAACATTTCAGGTCTGGTGTGAATCTTTTTCAGAACTGAGAGGCGCTGGAAAATGCTTTTTTCTATATATTTTGACAGAGGTGGAGGAGGAGCAGGGGCACTTCGTATACAGGCCCTGTACAAAAGACAAAGGGGTTGTGAATGGTGGGGAAAGAGAAAAGGAGTCATAAAATAGGTGTAATTTAAGGTGTGATAGGGAGACAATGTGTCCTTTCTATTGAGAGCATCACAAACAATACACATACAAGGCAGGCTGTGGGGTGGGGTGGTGTGCGAATTTGGGGGCAAGTGGTGAACAAGAAATATAGAAAACAGACATCAAGTGGTCAGTTACTGAGGTTGTGGAATTCAACATTGAAACCTCAAGGCTTAAAAGTACCCAAGAGGAAAATGAGGTGTTACTCCTCAAGCTTTCATTGTGCTTCATTGAAACATTGCAGTAGACTTAGAGTAGAAATGTTAGCATGACAGCAAGTTAGTTTATTAAAATGGCAAGCAACTGGGGGGGTCAAGGTCATTACTACAGACAGAGTGAAGGTGTTCCATGTATAACATTCTATCCCAGTCCGTATCAGAAATAGTAGGAACTGCAGATGCTGGAGAATCCGAGACAACAAGGTGCAGGGCTGGATGAACACAGCAGGTCTGCTCCTATGATGCTGCTTGGCCTGCTGTGTTCATCCAGCCCTGCACCTTGCTATCCCAGTCTGTGTTTGATCTCACCCATGTAAAGGAGATCACTTTGTGAGCAGTAGACTAGATTGAAAGAAGTACAAGTAAAATGCTAATCCACTTGGAAGGTTTGTTTTGGGTCTTGGACAGTGAGGGGGGAGGAAGTAAACAGAGAAGTGTTACACCTTCTGCGATTACATGGGAAGGTGCCATAGGGGATTGAGGAAAAGTGTTAGGAGTGATGGAGGAGTGGACCAGAATATTAAGGAGAGAATAATCCCTGTGAAATGCTGATGGTAGAGAGGAGAGGAAGATGCATTTTGTGGTTGCATCCTGCTGGAGATGGCAGAAATGGCAACAGGGTGATCCTTTGAATGATGAGGCTCACAGGGTGGAAACTAAGGAAAAGGGGAACCCTATCATTGTTCCGTGAAGGAAGGTATGGGATTGAGAGCAGAAATGTGGGAGATGGGTCAGGCACAGCTGAAGGACTTGTCAACCACAATTTGCAGGTGGGGTTTGGGAGGTGGTGGGTGAGATCATGGTTGATGAAAAGTCACGTTGGAGGCAGCCTGGTGGAAGGTGACATCATCAGAATAGATACGGCAGAGACAGAGGAACTAGGAGAATGTAATAGAATCCTTGCAGGAAGTAGTATGTGAGGACATATTGTCAAGCTAACTGTGGGAGTCAGTAGAATTGTAATGAATTTTGGTGGACAGTCTATTCTCAGAATTGGAAAGAGTGAAGTCAAGCAAGAGAAAGGAAGAGTTTGAGAAGGACCAGAGAAGATGAGTGAAATTCTATATAAATTCAAGTTCTTTCCTCCATTATAACAATTCATTCCATTTGTAATTCAAGTGAATCCTTCCTTACTTTTTCAATGCTTCTAAAATCCTTCTTGGTTTGGTGTGACCAGACGGCACACAATATCTCAAGCAGTGCATTGTATGAATTTAAAATCACCCCTTTCCTTTATGTTCAATGTCCATGTCCTATTTGTTTTCTCATGCTTTTTTACTGCTTGTACTCCTGCCATTAAATATCAGTCTATTTGCCTTTCAAACCTCTGTGTTCTTTCATTGTCACCGTTGAAGATATACCCTTCGCCTTCAGTTGGACAGTGAGCCTGTCTCAATTCCAAAAAGTGATAGTTTTCTCTACGTGGAGCTGGTCCTGACTCCTGTATCATGCTCCTGGAGGGAAAATCTACCCCTAAGCTTGGATCTGTAAATGAAAGGATAATAGAAAAGAATTGGAGAAAGGCCAAATGTATAAGATTAGATAGGATAGTTCCAGTTGAGGAGCCAGTATTGGCATTGATAGGGTGGGTCAAGTAGTCTTTCTCTTTGTTGTAAAGTTATGCCTTTGACAAAGTCACAAATAAACAGCCTTTTTAAAATCAGTGGGCTCTATTTGAATCATTAATCTATCCTAATTGCATGATCAAATTAGAAAAGCAGAATGATTTTGAAATTAGTCAAATCACAACAGATTCATTTTGTCTTCGACCTGATAATAATACAGAATAATAACTCTTTGCAAAACCTGAAAAGAATGTTAATCAAGCATTAGCCTATATACAGATTCTGATTTTCATTTAATGGAATTAATGGTGAGCTTCATGCTTGTTAAAAAATCAATAGATGTTTAAACAGCACATCACACACTGCTCCAGAGATTGGATTAGAACTTGTATTTAGATTGGCCTGAAGCTACATGCTGTATTTCACATTTTCAACCAGCAGGTGGCGAGCTATGCATATGGCCAGAGACTGGTCTGTTCTACAGCTCTTGGTTGCTTGTTGGATTCCTGCAGAGCACACTGCATTCATCCATTTGCAGCTGATGTGCTTCCTATTAAACACAAGCTCCCTTCCACTTCACCATGTC